CTAAACAGCATGAGTACTTTGGCATTCAGCTTTCTATGCAAAAAATCCATGGTAAAATGAGGGCAGGGGAAGTCTTCTGAATTGTTTCAGAAAAGTTTTACAAATAAATAGTAAAGATTTATTTATTTTTGTGTAGAAGGGAGAGTTACAGGGAGACAGAGCAAGTGAGAGAGAAGGATTTTTAAGATTTGTTTATTTATTGGAAAGTCAGATATACAGAGAGGAGGAGAGACAAGAGAGGAAGATCTTCTGTCCGATGATTCACTTCCCAAGTGAGTGCAATGGCCGATGCTATGCCGATCCAAAGCCAGGATCCAGGAACTTCTTCCAGGTATCCCACACGGGTGTAGGGTCCCAAGGCCTTGGAACTTCCTCCACTGCTTTCCCAGGCCACAAACAGCGAGCTAGATGGGAAGTGGAGCTGCAGGGATTAGAACCGGCACCCATATGAGATCCCAGTGTGTTCAAGGTGAGGACTTCGGCAGCTGGAACACAGTGCCTGGCTGAGAGAGAAGGATTTTATAATCACCATATTGTATGGTGGAACCCAAAACCTCCTGCCACCTAGCTCTAATCCAGTGTCTATGAACCCACCTTTGCCCATCCTTCCCTCCCCACTTGCCACCCAGTGTTTAGTAAGCGCAAGTATATATTTTTTAGCTTTTATAAGCTTTCTGTTTTTTAAGTCAACATGTGAGTGAAATTATGTGATATTTGTCTTACGGTGCTTTGGTTGATGTTGTCACCTGCGGTTTAGTCAAGGTGTTGTAAAGGACAAATGTGATCCTTTCATGTCTGAGTTACATTTCCATGTTGACACACCCATTTTCTTTAGACGTTCATCAGTACAGGGAGCCTTAGGTTGTTTTGATTTCTTGGAACTTGCGGAGTGCAGACAGCTCGACGGATGAATTTCATTTCTCTTTGGAATCTTGCCAGTTAGTGGAATTGCTAGATCATATGGTAATCCTAGTTTCCAGTTTTTGAGGAACCTCTCTACTGTTTTATGTATAATTCCATGAACAGTGTGCAAGGATTCCCTTTTCTCTGTATCTTCTCCATCACTTTTTGTTAAAAAAAAAAAAAAAAAAAAAAAAGAGTTTAAAGACAAAGTAGGGGACTGGCAGTAAGTGATGCTGTTGCCCAGAACAGCTTACATCCCCTATGGGTGTGATGTGTATCCTGGCAGTTCCACTTAGGATCCAGCTCTGTGCTGATAGCCTGTGGGAGCAGGAGAGGATGGCCCTAATCTTTGGGCTCTTGTACTCACTGGGGAGACCCAGACTCTTTTGGCTTAGGCCTGGTCCAGGCTGGGCCATTGGGGCTTTGATCTGAGCTGAAACTGGGATTGGCAGCCGGCAGCACATGGATATGATTCTTCTCTCTCTATAACTTTGTCTTTCAAATAAAGAATGAATCTTCAAAAAAAAATCTAATATTGACAATGTTTTCATGTACATGTTGGTCATGTATACATCTTTTGAAAAAATTATATTTCAATCTGCTATCTGTTTTAATTGTGTTATTGATGGTGTTTTTGCTTTGTGGCTGTTTCAGTTTCTGTTTCCCAGTCCCCTGTCAGGTGTGTAGTGTGCGTATTTTCTTCCATCCTGTAGGTTGTTTGTTTAAAAAGTAGTTTTTCTTCTTTTACCAGGGAAAAGCTTGCACTTACTATACTTTTTTAGTCTAATCTAGAACAATCACTGCTAATTGAAGTGTCTGGAGTAATTTCATCCAGATTCCAAAGACCGAGTTACAGAGAGATAGTGAGAGAGAAAGACAGTGAAAAAGCTCACATGAGCACGGCTCACTCCCTGAATGTCTACAACATCTGCAGATGGGCCAGGCTGAAGTGAGGAACCTGGAAGCTTGTCTGGGTCTCCTACTTGACTGCAGGGACCCAAAGCCTGGGGCCCTTTCCACTGCTTTCTTTCCTCGGTACATGTACAGGGAGTTGGGTCGGAAGTAGAGCAGCCAGGACAAAAGCTGGCACCCCATCCCAGGTGGCGGCTTCATTGCTGCCACCACAACATTGACACCCCTGTCTGTGCCTTTAACTGAGGAATTGAGTCTGTTGACATTTAAGATCATTATTGATTGGTTATGTCTTACTGCTGCTGTTTTGAGACCTGTGTGTTTTTATTGTGTGTCCGTTCCCCTCAGTGTTCATTTGTCATTTAGTGATTCTCTCTAGAGTTGTACTTTGATTTCCTTGCTAACTCTGTGTGTAAGTTTTGTGTTGTAGTTACTTTCAGGCTTACAAAACAACTTTATTGACTGTAATAGACTCTTAAAGTGATAACAGCTTCTGATAGATAAGGAAACAAACAGAAAACACAAAGAGGTAAAAAGTCTTCATACTTTCTATACTCTGTTCCCTACCCATATTTTGAAGAAAAAATTTTGTGAACTATATTATTTTGATTTATCAGGGAGAACAGCAAAGTGAGACAGAAAAGATGCTCTCTTCCATTCACTGTTTTACTCCCTAAGTGGCTTGTAACGTCCAGGGCTGGGCCAGGCTGAGGTCAGGAGCCAGGAACTCCTTTCTGGTCTTCCTCACTGGTGGCAGGAACTCACGTGTGTGGTCTGTCTTGTCCGGCTCCGCAGGATGTGTTGGCAGAAAGTGGAATCAGATGTGGAACAGTTGGGCTTGAACCAGGACCTGATAGGGCATGCTGGCATTGTAGGTGGCAGCTTAAGTTAATGCTGTTTTGTAGTGACAGGCCCCGCTTTGGGATGTGTTAATGTTGTTATTGTTGTCATTATTATTATTACACAATTTATATACTTTGAAAAATTACAGAGAGAGGGAAAGATAGAGGATTTTCCTTCCACTGGTTCACTTTCCAAATGGCCAGCATGGCCAGAGCTGGATCTGACCATGGTTGGGAGCCAGGAGCTTTTTCCTGGTCTCCCACATATGTGCAGGAGCTCAAGGACTTGAGCCATCCTCTGTTACTTTGCCAGACCATTGGTCAGTACTTGCTCAAACGTGGAGCAGCTGGAATGTGAACTGGTGCCCAAATGGGATGGCACATCGCCATGCCAGCCCATGGCTATAATGTTTTAGTCGTTATAGTAAAGTCATAAATGGTTGGATCAGAGGCGGAGCAGCAGAAGTCAAAGTAACAACCATATATTAGTCTGGCACTACAGGTGGCAGCTTTGCCTGCCATGCCATGGGGTTGACTCCAAAATATTGTTTCCTTGTGCATGTGTGTGTGTGTGTGTGTCTATGGTGGAAATGTACACACACACACACATACAATTCTCTTAATCATCGTACTTAAATTTGATAAACCAGCCCATTCTACATGTCCTGTCACTTTTTATGTCACTCATGGTTACCCTCCTTGCCAAACCAGCTGAAGTGACAGCAGAGTTCATCATTGTCCTCCGTTTATGACACATGAGTAAGGTCTGTGGACAGAGAACAATCCTTCGGAAAGTTTGAGGAAAAGGTGGAATTACAAATAAGTCTATTCTAGTACAAAACAATTTTGAAATTCATGCTTTGCTTTTTCCTAATGTGCATTTCCCCCAAAGTCCCAGGGTTGTAGATCTAACCTACGAGAGGCCAGCAGTGACACATGGCAAAATGAGTCCAAACCTCCAGAGCTCAGGGCTCTGCATGATGCCATTCTAGGAGCACTGGTGAGAAACTGGAGTCGTGTAGGCTTCTTTAGGTGCTGGTCTCATCATAATGTGCCAGCTTTGAGCTCTGAAGTGTGTCCTGCACAGCTGTAGTTTTGTTTCCTGCTGGTGGTTGGGGCAGGCTGTCAGAGGCCACCTGGCCGTTGAAGATCCCAATACTCACTGCCCTGGTGTGGTCCTGGGGCCAGGGCAAGGGCTGCCATCTATATTTTTCACAGTGGCCCTGGTCCCCTAATGCCCACGCAGGAGGCAACTATCTCTGCATCCATCGTTGGAGTGGGGGAAGGGTGGCATGCCTGGACAACTCTTGTTTTTGCTTTCTTTGATGTGACTCTTGTCATGTCAGGGTTAGAACAAGGTGAGGCATTGTTTCCCCTGCCTGACTCCAGTAGCTCTTGAGAAGCTAACTTGGTGTATGTATAACTAGTCACATTGCTGTCTGCACAGGAGTCTCTTAGCCTGATGCCATCCAGTGAGAGAGCTCAAGAGCTCCCGTTCAGTTAGCCCAAATGCCTGCAGTGGCCAAGGCTGGGCCAGGCTAAAGCCCGGAGCCAAGGACTCAGTCCCAATCTCCCACATGAGTGACACTAATTTCACCCTTGCACCATCACCTGCTGGATTCCAGGGTCTGCATCAGCAGGACGGTGAGTAGCCATGACCTCAGCCAGGCTCTCCATGTGGGATGCAGGTTAAGCAGCATCTCAGTTGTTAGGCCAAATGCCTGCTCAGAAACCACATGTTCCAAACACATAGTCTTAGTGCATGAACACTTACTTTAGGTTTTACATTTACAAAGATGTTAAAAGTAACTGAGACCAATTGATTTAGACTGCTGTACATTGGACCAAGGGATGAAAAATAGTATGAAAGTGGATACACTTTGCAAGGTGAGCATTCATGGATCCAAGTAGAGTCTAGAATTTCATTGATGTTTGATAATTTATAAGAAACAAGGTAAAAGAATGAGTCAGTGCATTCTGTTGATCACTATTTTAGAAGGATTAGCATAAAGACAGACAGTGAATAGTTTCATACTTCAAAAACCAATTTGGGACCCGGCAGAGTAGCCTAGTGGCTAAAGTCCTCCCCCTTGCACATACAAGGATCCCGTATGGGTGCTGGTTCTAATCCCAGTGTCCCGGCGGCCATGCTTCCCATATAACTCCCTGCTTGTGACCTGGGAGATTTTATGGGCATTTGCAATATGAACCCTCAGAAGCTCCCTCCACATTTCTGCAAAGTGTTTTAAGACATAAACCATGGGCCCACCGTGTTAGTCTAGTGGCTAAATTCCTTGTCTTGCCTTCCTTCCAGGCCTGTGTAAAGAGCATTGCAGAATACACACAGAGATAGGCAACATCTGGACACATCTCTAAGGTATGTATGAACAATGGCAATGAATTGGTGATTGAGTTTATTCCTTTTATTTGCATGTCTTTGAAGGGAAGGGCAGAAGCTTTTTGTGAAGATTGATTTAGTTTTGGGTGTAGTGGTTAAGGTCCTCCCCTTAAACCCACCAGGATCCCATATGGGCGCCAGTTCTAATCGTGGAGGCCCGCTTCCCACCCAGCTCCCTGCTTGTGACCTGGGAAAGCAGTGGAGGACAACCCAAAGCCTTCCAGTCTTGCACCTGTGTGGGTGACCCAGAAGAGGCCCCAGGCCCCTGGCTTTGGATTAGTGCAACTCTGGTTGTTGCAGCTGCTTGGGGAGTGAATCATCAAAGGAAACATCTTCTTGTCTGTCTCTCCTCCTCTCTACACATCTGCCTTTCCAAAAAATAAATAAATCTTTTGCAAAAGTTCAGGGATAAAATGAATTGAAAAATAACTGCAATTTTGTCCCAAAACTCTAAAGTCAATGTGTATGAGAAGTCTGCAGTAAGTTCATGGAAATGTGACTTGTTAAACCAAGCAGAATTTTCCCATATCATTCCACATTCCACAAATGTTTGAAAGCAGCATGATTCATGTTGAAGTTGGATAGTTTTGAGATATTTGTTAGTATGATCTGCACAGCTATGAAGATTGCTTTCAATGTGCATGGTTGTACCTAAACATTTCCTTTGGTTTGTGTGGTGGTTAGAATTCGTGCAGCATGGGAATGGTGCTGTGGTGCAGTGGGGGAAACCATGGCTTACACCACCAGCATTCATAAGAGTGGCAGTTTGAGTCCCAGCTGCCTCACTTGCCTTCAGGCTGCCAGCTGGGGAGCCTGGATCCCTGGCACCTGTGTGGGTATCCCAGAAAAAACGCATGGCTCATTTGGACAGTGAATGAGCCAGAAGTGAAGAGAAGTCATCTTTTGATTTATGACTCTCCTTTTCTCTCTGTACTTTAAAAATACATACTTATATTCATGCTTTCTCTTGTTAATCTTCCCCTAAGTTCTATCTATTTCTTTAAAGATTTATTTATTTTCTTGGAAAGGCAGATGTACAGAGAGGAGGAGAGCCAGTGAGGAAGATGTTTCAGTCGGTCATTCACTCCCCAAGTGGTGGCAACGGCTGGTGCTGCAGTGATCCGAAGCCAGGAGCCAACAACCTCTTTCCAAGTGTCCCAGGCAGGCGTGCAGGGTCCCAAAGCATTGGGCCATCCTCGACTGCTTTCCCAGGCCACAACAGGGACAGTGGAATGGGAAGTGGAGCTGCTGGGATTAGAACCGGCGCCCATATGGCATCCCAATAGTTTGAAACAGTGGGGACCTTAACCATTGCTCTATCATCCAGGCCCAGTTCTATGTATTATAAATTGCCTTTGACTATGTGCATGACTCTACTGAATCTACTCCAGGAGACACAGTTACTTTCCTCTCGCATTCCATATTGATGGACAAATGTTTGGCCACTGTGTTATTTGATTTCACTTAGCACTTGAAAGCACTGAGTGTTTTTAGCCTGTGCTTCATAATGCTATATTGTGGTGTTATCCTCCACAATTTTCTATTCAAAACAATTTTTTTCACTGTCAAGTAAGAGCTCACCTATTCTAAAGAACATTTTTCTCCTCCAGATGACCATTTCTTTGATAAGGATTTTTCTTGCCTTAGCATCTGCTCCCTCTATTATTTTTCAAATTTAATTGTGATCGCAGTTGATAACTCCATAATCCATATCTGGAATCTAGACAGCTCTCTTGGTCCCCTTTTAAGCCTATCATAATCTCTGCTATTATGATGCAAAAATGTCAAACTTCACTATTGCTAACACCCCCTGACCCAATAATCAAACAGATTCTCGTTGTTTTTCTATGAACTATAATGAAATTCTGCACCGTAGTGTGTAACCTGATATGAAATAATAATGCTTTTAATTTTTTCCTTGCTTTCATGCACCAATGCATATATCCATGCATTTCTACATATTAAATATTTCCAACTATTTCCCCTTAATTATTTCTGTAATGATGCTAGTTTGGACAGCTGTTGTCATGAACCTTAATTTCTCCCATCTTCCCAAAAGCATTTTTCAAGTCTATGCTGGTTCTTTTGTCAAAATTCATTCACTACTTACTACCTCTTCCTCTCCCTCTAAATTCTCAAGGAATCTCTTTTGGTTTCAAGTGGGACCTACCATTTCTTCGCATGATAGTAATTCTTTCAGGGAGGTAGACATTAGTCAAATGGTGAAGATACTGCCTTGGACACCTTCATGCCATGGTGGAGTGTCAAACCTGGCTTTCTGATAACGGAAGCCTACAGGTTATAGCTCACATAGCCTATTCATTGCCACCCACATGGGAAAATGGACTTGAGCGTGTGGCTCCTGGTGTTTGACTGATGTAGCCTATAGTAGTGTAGGTATTTGCAATGTTACTTAGAATTAGGCTCTCGCTCCGTCTCTCTTTCTCTCCTTCTCTGCCTCTCCGTTTACAATAAACTTAAAACTAGAATTTACTTTTAAACATGTTGAAAGAATTCACAAGATAGCATAGCTGTTCAACTCATTTTCAGGTAATTTTCACATGATCATCTAATCTCCTTGCACCAACATGGCAATAACTCTGTTTCATTTTTAATCGTTCATCCATTTAAAAAATTAGGCTTTCACCTGAACTCCTTACAAATTAATTATTTTCAAAGCGTCTGTGCCTTGGTTGCCACATAGAGTTCTCGATCCAAAGAAAAATTTTGAGAGATTTTTTTTGAATGGATAAACGAAACAATAAGAACCATGGAAGAAGTTTCTTAAAAGACAAATACAGTGTACAGTTTTTCAAAACCAACATGAAATATGTCAAAACTGATAGATCACATTTTATTTGTACAGCAGTCAAAACCTAAAATTGCATGTCTCTAAGTGGGCCTCCAGAGCCCAGTGCAGCAAGGAGCCCCCATCCCCATCTGGCCACACAGAACTTCCCAGGGTGAGGAGAGGAAGCACAGCAGGGCGCCCTGGTGTCCAGGAGGAGGAAGAAAAGGTTCCCCAAGGGCGGCGGGGCATCCAGCGGAGGAATCCTGCGTGGTGCTGACGCGGAGGGATTGGCCGCTTGGTCACTTCCTGCGAGATGCTGCGGCCTCGCACACTCAGTCAGTGAAGAGCCAGTGGAGAAAGAGGACAAGTCACTGGGTTCTCCAGAGTGGAACTGTTCTCTTGCCGAAGATGTGCAGCAGGCTCCGGGAGAGGACGTAAGGGCTCATGGACTCCAGCTGAAAATCATCCTGCCTGCTGTCCACCTGCCCCCCACCTGGGGAGGGTCTGGCGGTGGCTGCCATGGTGGACATGGAGCCAGCTATGTGTGAGTTGGTGCAGCCCCCAGAGTGCCTGGTCTCTGAGCCTCGCTGCAGGACTTGATAGACCCACTGGGCTTCATCAGCACCATCCGACCTGTTACGGAAAACAGGGACACCTACAAGGTAAGAACCCCCAAGTTCTAGTGATCCAGGAAGGGGAGGCGGCAGCTTGGCCTTAGCACCTGTGTGGGAGCGCAGGTGGAAGCTTGTCCCCTAGGGCAAGGGTAGTTTAGCCATCTCCATCACAATGGTGCAGGAGTGGAGGTGGCTGCTTGCCTGCCTGCAGGGTTTAGGAGGATGGGCCATGGCTTAGCACTCAGTGAGGATTCCAGGAGGCGAGATTGCAGCTTGGCCATCTGCGTGGGGTCTAGGAGGGCAGGTAGTGGCTTGTCCCTAGGTGCAGGGTCCAGGAGGCAGGCGGTGGCTTGGTCCTTGGTGAGTGTTCCTGGAGGGCAGGCAGTGCCTTGGCCCTTTTGTGTGTTGTCTGGGAGGGCTGGTGGCAGCTTGGTCATTGGCATGGTCCATGAAAGGCATGAGGTTTCTTTGCCCTAGGCATCGGATCCAGGAGCTCAGGTGGCAGCTTAGTCCTGCATTCTGGGTGGAGAAGCTCAGGTGGTGGCTTCGCCCTCAGGGTGGGGGTCATCATGGCAGGCTGTGGCTTTGTGCTTTGTGTGTTGTTTTCTGGGAGGGCTGGAGTCCTTGGTGCAGAGATGAGAGGGAAGCTGGGGTCTAGCACTCAGTGTGGTCTCTGTGTAGAGTGGGCACAGGTGCCTCGGGTTCACGCTGTCCTGCAAGGCCTGCTCCACTTCTGTCCTTGGGGCCGTCCTTCCTTTTTTCCTTTCTCTCTCTCTCCCATTCTCTCTCTCTTTCCTTTTTTTCTTATTTGGGTTAGTGATATATCAGTGTTACTTAGTTTTCAATAAATCTGTTCTTCATTGATCTTTTATCTTGTTTTCTATTTTGTTTATTGTCTACTTTCTTTCCTCCTAGTAATTTTGTGGTTTGTGTTGTTTGTCTTTTGCCTTGATGCCGTTTATCTGATGCCTTTCCATTTCTCAGTATAAGCACTGACCGCCCCAAATGTCCCTGTCAGCACTGCTGTTGTTGTGTCCCTTCAATTCTGATGCATTGTGCTATCTCCATTTGTTCACAGGAAGCTTTTGATTCTCCTTGGTTTCTTCTGTGGCTCTTTGCTTAGGAGCAATTTGTTAAGTCATGTGTGAGTTTACATATCTTTTAGATATTTGTAAGTCGTTAATTTCTAACTGAATTAGATTGTGATCAGAATGTAATCAGAAAAGAGAAATGATATGGTTTCATTTCTAAAAAAAATTATTGAGACTTTTGCTTTATATCTTAGCAGTGAACCATGATAAGAAAGTTCAATGTACTGATGAAAAGGATGGTTTCTGGACGTATGGAATGAGTTCTCTCAGATGGCAATGAAGTTCTGTTCGTCCATAGTGCAGATTAGCCCTGTTGTTTCTTGGCTGATTTTCTGTTTTGTTGATCTGTCCACTGATGGAAGTGAGGTGTTGGAGTGGAGGGGGCCGCTCCTTGCTGTGGAACTGCATGAGCTGATCCGAAGCCTGGAGCCTAGAGCTTTTTCCTGGTCTCCCATGTGGGTCCAGAGGCCCAAGGATTTAAGCCATCCTCTGCTGCTTTCCTAGGCAGGGAACTGGTTTGGAATTGATGCAGCTGGGACATGAACCAACACCCATATGGGATGCCGCATGATAGATGAGGATTAGGTTACTACACCACCATGCCAGCCCCTAAGTGATTAAAAATGGTATATATATATATAACATATATGTATATATTACAGAAAAAAATATATAAACCTTTTTAATCACATATATATACTAAAATGCATATTTTTAAATATAGTTTTCAGCAGTTTATCTTGTGATAAGCAAATGGAGTGCTTCATTCTGTCATGCCAGAAGTCATTTTCTTTTTTGTGTTTTGTTTTGGTTATTTTGAGGTTTGCAGTACTGTGTAGTTGTAGTTTTAATGTGCATTTACAAGCACTTTTTCATTGTCTCTGTCATTCTATCCTCTTGAATAAGGTGTTTGTACATATCATTATCTTTTTAGTTGGCTTGTTTGGTGCTGTTCCATTTGTGTGTGTGTGTGTGTGTGTGGGTGTGTGTGTGTGTAGTTTAAAGGCTATTCCTGGCTGCTTAGTGACATGCAGATATTCGTCTCCCAGGCTGAAACTTACTTTTTTTCAACTTAACAGTGTCTATGAAAAAAGCTAATATTCATGAAGTCTATTTCACCAGTTTGTCTTGTCATTTATTGGTCTTTTGGTGTCATGTCAGACCACTTGTCAGACCCTCCCTCTCGGTCCTAAAGGTTTCACATGCGTTTCCTGAGGAAGGTTTTTTCATTTTTGTTTTTTTTATTTCATGGAGTAAAAATTTCATGGTTTTTCATTTTACATTTTAAGTTAATGAGCTGTTTTAATTTTCCTACGAAGTATTGGTGTAGGAGTTTAAAGTGTTTATGTGTTTTTCATTTTTTGTTACTGTTCAATTACTGCAGTATCATTTATCATAAAAGCCTGCCCTTTCCCAGTTGCATTGCATCTACAAGTTTATAAAAGGCGTGCTTGGGTCATTGTTGGGTTCTCTAGTGTTCCTTTAGTCTGTTGCAGCTGCTTGGGCAGTGAACCAGCAGAGGGAAGATCTTCTTGTTTCTCCTCCTTTCTATCTGATTTTCCAATAAAAATAAATCTTAAAAAAAGAGTTGAATTATGATCTGCAGAAAGGGGGAACAAGTGTTTATTGTATCATTTGATTCTCATTCTGTCACCGTTTCTCTGGTTTCCTTACAGAGCTCTGGGGAACATGAGTGCAGTGAAGAAGTTTCCCATGAAGATGAGGGGTTTATGGGCATGTCCCATCTCCTGCAAGCCCATCATGCTGTGGAAAGATTGGAAGAGTTTGTGTGTAAGGTAAGATGACGGTATCCTCTCATTTGCATGCAGTATTTAGTCAGCGCCAATCAGAAACAGCTAAACAGCATGAGTACTTTGGCATTCAGCTTTCTATGCAAAAAATCCATGGTAAAATGAGGGCAGGGGAAGTCTTCTGAATTGTTTCAGAAAAGTTTTACAAATAAATAGTAAAGATTTATTTATTTTTGTGCAGAAGGGAGAGTTACAGGGAGACAGAGCAAATGAGAGAGAAGGATTTTTAAGATTTGTTTATTTATTGGAAAGTCAGATATACAGAGAGGAGGAGAGACAAGAGAGGAAGATCTTCTGTCTGATGATTCACTTCCCAAGTGAGTGCAATGGCCGATGCTATGCCGATCCAAAGCCAGGATCCAGGAACTTCTTCCGGGTATCCCACACGGGTGCAGGGTCCCAAGGCCTTGGACCTTCCTCCACTGCTTTCCCAGGCCACAAACAGCGAGCTGGATGGGAAGTGGAGCTGCAGGGATTAGAACCGGCACCCATATGAGATCCCAGTGTGTTCAAGGCGAGGACTTCGGCAGCTGGAACACACTGCCCGGCTGAGAGAGAAGGATTTTATAATCACCATATTGTATGGTGGAACCCAAAACCTCCTGCCACCTAGCTCTAATCCAGTGTCTATGAACCCACCTTTGCCCATCCTTCCCTCCCCACTTGCCACCCAGTGTTTGGTAAGTGCAAATATATTTTTTTACCTTTTATAAGCTTTCTATTTTTTAAGTCAACATGTGAGTGAAATTATGTGATATTTATCTTACGGTGCTTTGGTTGATGTTGTCACCTGCAGTTTAGTCAAGGTGTTGTAAAAGACAAATGTGATCCTTTTATGACTGAGTTACATTTCCATGTTGACACACCCATTTTCTTTAGACGTTCATCAGTACAGGGAGCCTTAGGTTGTTTTGATTTCTTGGAACTTGCGGAGTGCAGACAGCTCGACGGATGAATTTCATTTCCCTTTGGAATCTTGCCAGTTAGTGGAATTGCTAGATCATATGGTGATCCTAGTTTCCAGTTTTTGAGGAACCTCTCTACTGTTTTATGTATAATCCCATGAACAGTGTGCAAGGATTCCCTTTTCTCTGTATCTTCTCCATCACTTTTTGTCAAAAAAAAAAGAAAAAAAAAAAAGGGAGAGTTTGAAGACAAAGTAGGGGACTGGCAGTAAGTGATGTTGCCCAGAACAGCTTACATCCCCTATGGGTGTGATGTGTATCCTGGCAGTTCCACTTAGGATCCAGCTCTGTGCTGATAGCCTGTGGGAGCAGGAGAGGATGGCCTTAATCTTTGGGCTCTTGTACTCACAGGGGAGACCCAGACTCTTTTGGCTTAGGCCTGGTCCAGGCTGGGCCATTGAGGCTTTGATCTGAGCTGAAACTGGGATTGGGCGCCGGCAGCACATGGATATGATTCTTCTCTTTCTATAACTTTGTCTTTGAAATAAAGAATGAATCTTCAAAAAAAAAATCTAATATTGACAATATTTTCATGTACATGTTGGTCATGTATACATCTTTTGAAAAAAGTATATTTCAATCTGCTATCTGTTTTAATTGCGTTCTTGATGGTGTTTTTGCTTTGTGGCTGTTTCAGTTTCTGTTTCCCAGTCCCCTGTCAGGTGTGTAGTGTGCGTGTTTTCTCCCATCCTGTAGGTTGTTTGTTTAAAAGTAGTTTTTCTTCTTTTACTGGAGAAAAGCTTTCACTTACTATACTTTTTTAGTCTAATCTAGAACAATCACTGCTAATTGAAGTGTCTGGAGTAATTTTATCCAGATTTCAAAGACCGAGTTACAGAGAGATAGTGAGAGAGAAAGACAGTGAAAAAGCTCATGTGAGCATGGCTCACTCCCTGAATGTCTACAACATCTGCAGATGGGCCAGGCTGAAGTGAGGAACCTGGAATCTTGTCTGGGTCTCCTACTTGAGTGCAGGGACCCAAAGCCTGGGGCCCTTTCCACTGCTTTCTTTCCTCGGTACATGTACAGGGAGTTGGGTCGGAAGTAGAGCAGCCAGGACATAAGCTGGCACCCCGTCCCAGGTGGCGGCTTCATTGCTGCCACCACAACATTGACACCCCTGTCTGTGCCTTTAACTGAGGAATTGAGTCTGTTGACATTTAAGATCATTATTGATTGGTTATGTCTTACTGTTGCTGTTTTGAGACCTGTGTGTTTTTATTGTGTGTCCGTTCCCCTCAGTGTTCATTTGTCATTTAGTGATTCTCTCTAGAGTTGTACTTTGATTTCCTTGCTAAATCTGTGTGTAAGTTTTGTGTTGTAGTTACTTTGAGGCTTACAAAACAACTTTATTGACTGTAATAGACTCTTAAAGTGATAACAGCTTATGATAGATAAGGAAACAAACAGAAAACACAAAGAGGTAAAAAGTCTTCATACTTTCTATACTCTGTTCCCTACCCATATTTTGAAGAAAACATTTTGTGAACTATATTATTTTGATTTATCAGGGAGAACAGCAAAGTGAGACAGAAAAGATGCTATCTTCCGTTCACTGTTTTATTCCCTAAGTGGCTTGTAACGTCCAGGGCTGGGCCAGGCTGAGGTCAGGAGCCAGGAACTCCTTTCTGGTCTTCCTCACTGGTGGCAGGAACTCAGGTGCGTGGACTGTCTTGTCCGGCTCCGCAGGATGCGTTGGCAGAAAGTGGAATCAGATGTGGAACAGTTGGGCTTGAACCAGGACCTGATAGGGCATGCTGGCATTGTAGGTGGCAGCTTAAGTTAATGCTGTGTCATAGTGACAGGCCCCGCTTTGGGATGTGTTAATGTTGTTATTGTTGTCATTATTATTATTACACAATTTATATACTTTGAAAAATTACAGAGAGAGGGAAAGATAGATAGAGGATTTTCCTTCCACTGGTTCACTTTCCAAATGGCCAGCATGGCCAGAGCTGGACCTGACCATGGTTGGGAGCCAGGAGATTTTTCCTGGTCTCCCACATATATGCAGGAGCTCAAGGACTTGAGCCATGCTCTGTTACTTTGCCAGACCATTGGTCAGTACTTGCTCAAACGTGGAGCAGCTGGGATGTGAACTGGTACCCAAATGGGATGGCACATCGCCATGCCAGCCCATGGCTATAATGTTTTAGTCGTTATAGTAAAGTCATAAATGGTTGGATCAGAGGCGGAGCAGCAGAAGTCAAAGTAACAACCATATATTAGTCTGGCACTACAGGTGGCAGCTTTGCCTGCCATGCCATGGGGTTGACTCCAAAATATTGTTTCCTTGTGTATGTATGTGTGTGTGTGTGTGTGTGTATGGTGGAAATGTACACACACACACACACACACATACAATACTCTTAATCATCGTACTTAAATTTGATAAACCAGCCCATTCTACATGTCCTGTCACTTTTTATGTCACTCATGGTTACCCTCCTTGCCAAACCAGCTGAAGGGACAGCAAAGTTAAACATTGTCCTCCGTTTATGACACATGAGTAAGGTCTGTTGACAGAGAACAATCCTTCGGAAAGTTTGAGGAAAAGTTGGAATTACAAATAAGTCTATTCTAGTACAAAACAATTTTGAAATTCATGCTTTGCTTTTTCCTAATGTGCATTTCCCCCAAAGTCCCAGGGTTGTTGATCTAACCTACGAGAGGCCAGCAGTGACACATGGCAAAATGAGTCCAAACCTCCAGAGCTCAGGGCTCAGCATGATGCCATTCTAGGAGCACTGGTGAGAAACTGGAGTCCTGTAGGCTTCTTTAGGTGCTGGTCTCATCATAATATGCCAGCTTTGAGCTCTGAAGTGTGTCCTGCACAGCTGTAGTTTTGTTTCCTGCTGGTGGTTGGGGCAGGCTGTCAGAGGCCACCTGGCAGTAGAAGATCCCAATACTCACTGCCCTGGTGTGGTCCTGGGGCCAGGGCAAGGGCTGCCATCTATATTTTTCACAGTGGCCCTGGTCCCCTAATGCCCACGCAGGAGGCAACTATCTCTGCATCCATCGTTGGAGTGGGGGAAGGGTGGCATGCCTGGACAACTCTTGTTTTTGCTTTCTTTGATGTGACTCTTGTCATGTCAGGGTTAGAACAAGGTGAGGCATTGTTTCCCCTGCCTGACTGCAGTAGCTCTTGAGAAGCTAACTTGGTGTATGTGTAACTAGTCACATTGCTGTCTGCACGGGAGCCTCTTAGCCTGATGCCATCCAGTGAGAGAGCTCAAGAGCTCCCTTTCAGTTAGCCCAAATGCCTGCAGTGGCCAAGGCTGGGCCAGGCTAAAGCCCGGAGCCAAGGACTCAGTCCCAATCTCCCACATGAGTGACACTAATTTCACCCTTGTGCCATCACCTGCTGGATCCCAGGGTCTGCATCAGCAGGACAGTGAGTAGCCATGACCTCAGCCAGGCTCTCCATGTGGGATGCAGGTTAAGCAGCATCTCAGTTGTTAGGCCAAATGCCCGCTCAGAAACCACATGTTCCAAACACATAGTCTTAGTGCATGAACACTTACTTTAGGTTTTACATTTACAAAGATGTTAAAAGTAACTGAGACCAATTGATTTAGACTGCTGTACATTGGACCAAGGGATGAAAAATAGTATGAAAGTGGATACACTTTGCAAGGTGAGCATTCATGGATCCAAGTAGAGTCTAGAATTTCATTGATGTTTGATAATTTATAAGAAACAAGGTAAAAGAATGAGTCAGTGCATTCTGTTGATCACTATTTCAGAAGGATTAGCGCAAAGACAGTTTCATACTTCAAAAACCAATTTGGGTCCCGGCACATTAGGCTAGTGGCTAAAGTCCTCCCCCTTGCACATACAAGGATCCCGTATGGGTGCTGGTTCTAATCCCAGTGTCCCGGCGGCCATGCTTCCCATATAACTCCCTGCTTGTGACCTGGGAGATTTTATGGGCATTTGCAATATGAACCCTCAGAAGCTCCCTCCACATTACTGAAAAGTTTTTTAAGACATAAACCATGGGCCC